TCGTGTATAATATTTGTTTGTTAATATTCTGAGGCTATGACGTATGTCATATATATTGTCTTATTTCTTCCATTTATACAGTTTAACACCTCGTATTTAGGTTGAGCGTTTTGGGTACTCTAAGTTATAGGTGTTATTGACCAGGACAACAAGTGAGGTGAAATTTACGAGGCAATAAACTCTCACGTTGTTACTTTTGTGGGATGAGGTGCATGCCTCGTAACTCGTGTATAAGTCTCACCTAATACCAGGGTAGATGTGCACCATGGCGACCTGGCCCATTGACTTTGGATACTGCGAGTAGACTTATCGCGAATTGCATATATTAAACGTACCCCTTATATTCATCTGAATGAATCAGCTCAAGACAATGTTAAGGTTTGTCCTCTAGGTTCAAGAGGGTGGTTTGGTGTTTAATATTGTTCCTAGTTATTCAGGTCAGCCGTGTAAAACAGTTCATCTCGAATATTGTAACCATAAAGCACAAATCATAAAACCTGTCCTAAAATACGAGAGAAATTTGTAGACATCAGCGCAATCAAATGGCATCTACATGAACTGCTGTAAATCCTGGTTTTAGATTTTGTACAGCTAGATTACAGTTCTTCTTGCTCTTTCCAAATTAAATACCTATTGTAAAATGTGATGTTTTAATGTGTGTTTTATATAGGGGTTAGCTTCCGTGCGCTGGTGTGAATTAAATGTTTTTTTACGATGTTAGAGTTAATATATATGTGCGCTTTATAATTTGGGAAACATACTAGGGTGCAAGCAACACCTTACTATTTTGTCGTTGTATTTAGTTTAAGTATTTTGAATCTTGAAAAATAACATAAACTAATAGCAACCATATTATTTACTACGGATTCTGAAGTTTACACCATATATATTCTAGAACAAATGAAATTTTCTTTTTTACCATATAGAATAATAAGACTACGCTGCTACTGCAAAAATGGTATATTTACCTCTTTAGTTCTTCATTCAATCACGGTTGATAATGCAATAATGCAATTGTTTTACAATTAATTGGCCTTTTAGTTGACATGTTTAAAAAGTTAATTTAGAGTACTTTATCCAGTTGTTTTGTAAAGTGAATTGTGCAAAAGCCATTTTTCAAAACTGTTATTTACAACATACAAATTAATGGGAAATTAAAATGACACTGAGAAATTCGAAATCCTAATGCTTGAAAGCCCTTTAAACCAATTAACACGAGAGACAATAAAACTAAATGAGATTAGTGGTAGAACTGATAGCAGATAATAACGTTTGTTTCTTTTATTGCTGAATTTTATCTCACGAAGTAGGCAGTAAAAAGCGCTTGGTGAGAAGATTGTGGAAATAAGCAAGAAGCGTTATTTTATGTTTTATCTCGATCATCCTTCACCTGAACTTCTATGCGGCTCTAAACATGATGAACAAATTACTCCTGTTTTCCTCATTCTAGGTTTAATTCATCATTGTCTTGTGAATTTGTTTTTAACAATGACGAAAATGTGCCTACATTAATTCATTATGTTTGTCGTTATTAAATTTGAATTGCATTTCGATATTGTATTTTCATTTGTTGTTGTTTACTAATTCCCATAAGTTTTCGTATCGTTATACTGTTCAATGGATGTTTTAAAGTATATTACACCATGCTATTATCTGACTGTGAACAGCTATATCGTTTAAAGTTAGGTTATTTATCCGTAAAAAGCACTAAAAAACACTAGTACTAAAAAAACTATTATTGCAAGACTATTATAGAAGTTAAAGAGTTTTTTTTTAATTCTAATAAACCTAAATGTTGAATTCACCAAAGTAAAAATTCATTTTTTTAAATGTAATTTCATTAATCTCAGTTTTAACATAGATAAAAGGAGTAGACACTCCTTTCTACTCCTATCTATGGGTTTACTTCAATCGTATATTTTCTATACTTGAGTAAAGCAACAATTAATTGATAAAATAAATCATCTCGTTTGGGCCGCATAGCTCCATTCGCGTAAGGTATGATAAAAAAAACGCAAATGTCCTTAAAAAAATAATAATAATATACTTATGTATGAATTATAATCTTATATAATGAGGTATCGTGGCAAAAGAAATTAAAATACCATAACTGCTATCTCCCTTGTAATAATTAACTTGACTGTGTGCAATCTAATGCTGAACACTTTAATTTGCATTCTTGACCATCATTATTAAATAACCATGATACCAAATAACACAATTACTCAGAATATACAACTTTAGCTCTGCACAGAGCGTAAAGCACAATACAAGTAGTTGTAAATTCAAGCCGTAACCCGTGTCCAGTTATGACCACAATCATGGCTGTTTTCACCATAAATCATTAAAGTTGCGCCAACGACGCGGCAGGTCACCGAGCTTTATGGCCAACTTGGGGATTAATGATGCTTTCAATGAATGTTAACCTGTGAATATTAACTTTAGTGAGGATAATATACCTAGGCCAAGTATGATCATTATAAAATAATATTATTATATACTTATACAATAACGTTATCTTCGCGAATTTATATCTTGTATTAAGTGTCTGGTGACATTAGCCATTTTTTATGTAAGTTTCGATCACTTAATTTCCAATTATTACTCACATATACTGAAATAGAACCGTAAGTTTGAAAAATGCAGTTACTCTGCATCAGACGTATATATTAAACGTATATATTAATTATTCTTTACTCAATTAGTTACAATATATTCTAACAATAAAACTATAACCAGTGCAATTAATTCATTGTGAAACCCCTTTAGTTTTGTAAAAGCGATTTAGTAACCATGGTCCTACTTTAACCTTCCCTTCACTAGTGTTTTAATATAAAAGTGATGGAAAAGGGGGTCTTGTCAGTATCTACCTCAAAGATATTTCGTATGAATGTATTACAAATGTGTATTGAGGAAAATGATACGAACCACTCATATGCTAGTAGATTTCGCGATACATTGAACCCGTGACTCTAATACCGTAGACCAAGACGTTAACCAATGAGCTATCGATTCACAAATAGCTACATTTGTTCAGTAACCTTATTTTTTTTAATAGATGCCATCCACTCCATTTTTATCTATATTATATACATAGAGAATATACTTTAGTTCCCACCACAAAATAACAATTCTTCACAAACGGCGATGGCGGAAGAACAAACTGTCGTCGTTATGGGGACTGGTGACATTGTCAATGTCGTTCACTTGATGTACGGCATTAATATCACACGGCATTACTGTCGATAACTCCACCTTTGTTCTCATTACAATGCCGCATGTCGACCTCGACGTCACTTTTCATATTTTATAACCCGTATTGACATAAAAGGCATTAATGTTAGGTCCGATAATGAATTGGTTTGTTTTCAAGCTAACCTGGTGAATTGGTTCAACATTTTGTTGGCTGTATGACTAAACATTTTGTTATAGTCGTAGTAAACCAAACAAACTTATTTTTATGATAAATTTTCTAAAATATTTTTTTTTTTAATTCAAAAGGCTCCGCAGTGTAGATATAGCAGACCTAGGCTTAAAATATAACTAAATAGTGGTTGGGTAGTAAAAAAATTAGAAGGGATAGTTAAAGTATATAATTTCGTATTCTTCATGGTAAAACTAAGGGTTGAGAATTTGATGAGGGGTGAATCTTATGAACCTCAAGAAATAAATTGCAAATTTTGTAAGTTTACAGGTTTGCTGCAACGAGGATATCTTAAGGAGTTTGTTTCCTGTAGAGGGAGGGATCATAATTTTATTTATTTGGTGAAACGAACAAACATTTATCGTTTTCCATTGGATGTTTGGTATCATTTAACCTACAAATTGGCCGTTCCCTTATATAATGACTGGGACGGTGGCGTCATCCTGTAATCCAACTACTAGGAGGTCACGAATTGTGGATATTTTTATGCATGCACTGTGGACGCGATGCTACTTAGTCTATGCTGGTGTGGATTAACTTCCGCACTAGTGAGTACTACGACTATCCGCAATACTATTCTGAGACCAATTCGTTAATACCAAGGCAAAATGTGGTTTGGATTCCAATATAAACTGTAGGTCCCTTAGTTGCCATTAGCTGTACGGGATATTAATTAACAGCTGAGTCTAAGGAATATGTCGGCCTTAGTCACTAAGACTACAAGATCGCGCCATTCATCCTACACTCATCTCCATTCATACTTGGCTATGAAATACCAGGCATACCTACTTTGTATGGTCGCCATTTCAACGAAAAGTATTAAAGTTAAGTATTAAAGTACAAAAATTAAAATATCTGCTGTAAATAAATACAATATACTAACCACAATAAGTGTCATGATATTATCACTTCTTCATTGTTTCGGTGGCGTCAAGTCGACTGCCGGGCCTCCATAGTTTTACAAAGCCTAATAGTTGCACAGTACGGCTTCCTTTGCGCCCTGGCTAAGGATTATCGGGGAATTTAATCCCTCTACAAACAACCCTCGTCTTTAGTCACCCCCGTACACACACATAGATCCACACACGAGAACCTACGCTCAACTACAAGCGCGAGGTAAAGATACCAATGATAATCCAATACGTAAATATAATATTTTACTGGGTCAAAATCTATTTGATGTACTGGAATGTACCGGAAATATCTCTGAATAAGACAAGGAACCATGACGTAGCTTCTAATGTTTTGGTCCTAACCCTACATGTGCATTTTACCACCTAAAATAAAACAGACACGGTTTTATAAGTGGAACCACCGCAAAATGCAGTACATTTATCAGCCGTCCACGCGTTCAAAATCTATTCTTCATCTCGTGAAGCCAATTGCGCAGAAGCTACGTTTGGCGATATGTTATATGCTTTATAATTTAATTATAATGGAACCTCACTTAACTAATCTTTCAACGGGGACTTTGGTAGCATTGGTCTTTTTTTCTATAGTTACATTGATGTGTAAATGTCATGCAAATGTATATTTTTCAATTTTTCAAGATTTATAAAATGTGTTTTTTTTTCAGAATGGTGGTGCTGGGACTGACAGTGGCGGACGCACGAATGGGTGAGTTCTATTTTTTAAATATATTGTTAACATTATCAATACACATACTACCTAATTATACAAAGCACAAAGTGTGGTGTTGCGATAAATATTAACTTAAAAGCAAGGTTAACTTCTAAGTAGATTGCAGCACTAGTGCTAAAATGTATGAAACACGTTCTCTCTGTACAAAGTTGCAATGTTTGTATTCGAAACATTAACGTGCAAATGAAACTTGAGGACAATAATTTAGAAAACTGAAAATGACAATTGGAAACTAGACGGGAGGTGTTCCACAAAAAGTAATTCGCACAAGGAATACAACGCACCGATTGATATTCATTTACTTATCAACGTCATTTAAATTTACAGAAATTACAAACACAACATATTTACTCAACATAAAACTATTTTGAAAAATAAATTCAATAAAATAAATATCAAATTAGGACTAGTTCACAGCCTAATTTATTAAGTCTTACAAAATTGTATAGGGTAGTTTATAATCAATGGTTTTACTCCTTAAAATTCGTATTTAAATTTTTATAATTATCTTACCAATAAACATATGGAATACTTAGTATAAACGTCTTGCTAGTTTTAGGAAGTCTCAATCCCCAATATGAAACACCAATTAATATATTTACGCCATCCATTATGAGAAACTTGCACAGAACTGTTTAAATTGCAAACCTTCCAAGACAGAACCCATATATTGGCTTAATTGACGTGAAACTTTTGATTAATAACACGGGTTGTATTAAAGTTCCCTTCTAATTAGAGTTTAAATTCGGTTCTTTGAACATCCAATGAAACGTTTTAGTTAATTGATGAAATTGTGTCGAATTGGTATTGTTATTGGTTTAATGTGTATACAAATGTAATAGGACTAATTATATTGTGGTCATTCTTCACCCCGCTTTGTCTTTTCTACGCGCTTTTTAACAATATTAATTTGTAAAACTAAATAGAAAGAATCATTCCTAGTGTCATATTTATTGTTAGATGTTTTTTTAATAATTTAGAAAGCATTATTATTATTATTATTTGTATTTATTTCCAAAATAGAAAACAATCTTAGCTATTGTGATTGAGTAAAGAAGTAGCATTTTACTAATTAGTAAGTGTATAAGTATCAACTTTGACAAATAATATATTCATATTATGGATCTAAGATTCTCGCCATCATTATAGAGCAGTTTGCATAATGCATTAGATCAATATGCAAGATTCCGGATACAATTTGCATTAGAATGCAGAAAATAAACGAAGCTAGGGGACAGCTTGTAGACAAAAGCTGTGCATCTTAATTAAGCTATGCGGGTACTTGGTTTTAAGTCCATGTTGAGAACTACTTGGATCGTTTACCGCAAGTTTTATAAACAATGCTAATGTTTATGTTGCTCGTGATAGTTGAGTGTGGTGCTTAGTTTTTGCTCATAACTATGTCGTTTCATTTACCACTTGTTGAACGCCCAGCCAGTGTCGACAAAAAATCTATTTTCAAAGATTTTATACTGTTTGTTTAAAAAATTGCCAGATATTATTGCAGTTATTTTCCATCATCGGGTTTCATTAAGTTTCACGGTATAAATACCTACTTTCTTGGTTTCTCATGTTACGTTTTAGTTGGTACTGTACTTCTTTACCTGAGGACTAAATTACGTCTTAAATACTTCTTATTGTATTTTCTGGGAAAAGTCAACAAGTGAAATAAATAAAACTTGTTGGAGTCGTTTTTTTTTTCAATACTGTTTAGTGTAGGGCCGACATTTACAAGTCGTTTGATCTTCAAATTTAGTGCAAACGTGTAAACCTACTTTTGTAAACCAGCATGATTAAGCGTCAGAAACAGGGTCAAATTGGGGGTTTCATTCTTCATTTTTCCATTCATGATAAAATCTGTCAATTTTTCTAATTTAATTTGTAGAGCTTGAAAAAACAAATAATTTAATTTATTAAATCGTTGTACGCTTAATGGTTACGAAAATGTCGTTTAAAACCGGAAATTTAAAAATAGAATTCTTATTCGGAGAATATGTTAACTTAACTGTTGTATTTGCTTTTTTATATTTTGATCTAATTTGGAAAGTTTTTCTATTTTGTATACTAAGCTAATAACTTTGCTGAAAATACACTTAATTACCTTGTAGCAGCAACCCTAAATACTCTATAGTGGAAAGAACCTCGTATAAATAGGAGACTTAATTTATATCAGGAGAAATACCTGAAATAAAGGTCTAAAGATTTTCACTAAATATGATTGTCAGATATTTGTAGGCTTTCCAACAAAAAGTGGTTCAAATTATTTGCACTGAACAATTGATTTTTCGAGTAATCATCTTTAAAAAGTATGTTAAATTAAAACAATAATATTTAGTGGACATCTTTAGACCTTTATTTCAAATATTTAACCTGATATAAATTAGGTCTCCTATTTATACGAGGGTCTTTCCATTAAAACTCGCTAAAACCAATGTTATTTGAATAGGAAATAAATTGGCATCCTGACACTTTCAAGGAAGTTTTTGGAGCAAATAAAATAAGACAAATGGAAATTCTTTTAGTATGCAGGTTTTCTTTGGCGGGTAATTTCTCTTTGGTTTGTTGGTTATTTTAATTTGTAAACTATTTTTAACATTTTAAACATTAGGCTTTTTAAAATATATTGAAAATAATTGTTTTCAACTTTTTACATTCCATATGATATTACATAATATGTTATTCTGTGGTTTCTTTATTTCACTTTACTTTTAAAACACTTGCTAAAGCCACAAAACCATATGATTGTTGTTGGAAAGCATTATAGCTATCAAAATGATTTTAGTATGGGATAAATAAATATGTTTTTTGTGTTTGTTGTAACACAATAAGAATTTTGTGTCACTGACTATGCAACTTGTTAAAGTAGTCAGTTCATTTGTTTCCTACGAAATAATTGTAAAGGCATTTAGGATTGATGGTGGAAATAAAACAATTATTCATATATTTAAAAATTAAATATCAGATCAGTAAATTTAAATATTAAGACAAATGCACAAATTGGTACAGTACATGTTGAAATAAGTGTCACTTTATCTCGGAACATTTAGGTACAAAACTGGTGACACTCCATGGAGTAAGTTTGCAATTAGCTTTAATCACAGACAAAAATGTAATAAACGTTTAGCATGGATAAACACTAATATTGTTGATGCAGGACAAATTTGATCTAAAGGGCGTATGCTTAGGTGTTGTTCTATTGCATCCACTCAAGTCTTGGCTTGGCAAGCTGAGTTCACTGTAATAATTAAGAATGGATTAAGTGGCCAAACGTGGTTTTGAGTTATAGGCTAGGAATCTTGGTGTGAAGTGGGTTCCATAGGACGATGGAAATCAATTACAACAGTTTCGTAAGTAAACCAAACCACTGATGAACTTGAAGGTAAAGATCAAACACCGATCAGGCAAAGAGGAAAGATTTCCTTCGTGATCACATCACAGTAACGGGTTCCACTTCTCACTCCCAGTGCCTGAGGAAACACCGTTGAGCTTTATTGAGATGATCATCGTGGCCATTCCGTTATTGAATTTAAACTACCAATCGACATTCTTGCTATTACAATTGATTTTATGATCATTTATTGTAGGAAGATAAGATTTTTTGTAGGATTAGTGTTTGATATAGTCTTAAGTATGTTTCTCAATCTTCTGTAACCATTTTCAACCATTGATACAGTTGTTTGTCACACAACTGGTGTTTTTATTTATGTATTGTTATATGATTCTTTTTTAGTTAGCTCTCCCTTGTAACTTATTAACTTATAAGTTAACTGATATCATTATTTCCATTGTTTTTAATTGTTATTTCTTGTAAAACTATACGTGATTGTTATTTATTTATATTTTTTTCAGTAACAATAATTATTTTATTGCTCTTATAACAAACTCTTATTTTCAAATATGTCTTTGTTGCTTAAAACCGTAATATATTCCTAGATATACAACAAAATACTTACACTACGTTTACTTTATACTACGTTTTTTGTCCTATGTTGTTGTAAAAAGGTATAACAGTTATGGCAAATAAATAACAGTGGTTACAGACGACACTTCTGCCCTAGTTGCTTACGTTCGGGCCACTGGCGTCTTGCTATGTGGCTCCGCCGTACAATATTTCGGAACTCACTTAGAAAAAAGCTAGGCCTCTCAAGAATATAAAATATTTGTATATCTGGTAGAACACGTCCTAACATATCATATATTTTATATCCTATTCCTTCCAAATCTTCTAACAGCACTATAGCTCTTCTAACGAAAAATATTTGTTTACTTAACCTAGTTTATTTCAACCCCGTTTGCAACTTTCTTTATGACTTCAGTAGCTCTAACAAGGCATTGGAGCAAAATAAAGGATCCACGATGAAAAGGTGGAGGCAAATAAAAACTCAGCGCGATATGAGAAAAGTTTTGTAAAGCTTTCTGTATTAAATGGCGTATATAACTAACATTGGTCGCTAGTGGATTTTAAAGGTAATTTAGAAACGTCAATCTAGTTAAAGCCCCATTTCAAAATCTTCTCACTTACATTATAACAACTTAGATTTAAATAAATAATTAAGAAAAATATTTTTGTAATGTATTTATTTGAAACAGTTGTGTTAATAGCCACATAACCAGACTAATAAAATGTTGTTGTAGTAGATCTAAAAATATATGTGAACCAAACCATTAACAGATTACTTTGAACAAAATTAATAGCCTATTGTTTGATCATGAAGGCTCGATTAACATTTATTTATATATTATAGAGAATATCCGATGAAAAAAGCGAAATTTAGAAAATTAAATACTTACTGCCACATTATGAACTCTACATGCATAACTATAACACCAGTTATAGTTTACTTTATGATGGATTTATTGAGTAAACACGTTTTATTGCATGGATTGTACCGTAATCTTGTGCATATTTTACAATGACATATTCTTTACAAAGGGAAGTTCAGAGGTTATAGTTTCATACCATTCTTCAGTTAAAT